CACAGAGTGTTTTCTTGACAAGGCTGTAGAAAGGCTTCTCTTTCATTACATTGATTGGCCATCGCGCAGTTCTAAAAGATTCCTTACTAATGAATTTAAGGGCAGCACCCGAATGAAGCGGAAATGACTTTATTGTCAGTTACATTTGTTTTTATACACATCAGAGAATACAAAGCAAAAAAAAAATCACTGTTTTGATTGGTGGGCTCTTTAATGATAACAACAAAAGGACCTAAACTTGTGAAATTTTCTCACCAGTCTCGTGCACAGTAGAATCCACGTGTTCGTTTAATTTAGAACTCATGTCGTTAAAGAAAGTTTATTTGGGAAACAAAAACAAAAAACAAAATAAACCATTTTGTTGCGTTCAGGAAAACCCTGTCTCACCCAATATCAATTTTTACTAAAAAAAAAAAAGAATGTTTCATGTTTGGTCATTAATCCTGCACTACATAGAATTTTTATTCGCTCTCTAAACTTCCGTCATTCTCAGTTTCATTAATGTTCTTTTCTCGGCGGTTCAATGCGCGAACGGACTACCGCAAAGTAAAAACTATTTGGATGTTATACACACCGTTAAGAATACAAAGCAGGGGAAAATGAGTTGTTTTTAAAATGTCGTAGTGTCAACAACAATAGGCTTGTAAAGTTGTGAAGTTTCCTCAACTCACGCGCACGATAGGTCTTTTTAAATTCTAATGAAAAAGCAAAGCAACAATAGCCATTCGTAAACAACAACAAGAGCAACATAGATCAGAAAGCAAGGTCTAGTCTGGAGTGAGGGTTGAAATTTCGATAAGATTGGCTTCGGTTTGGCTTTCTATTGAAAAATTGCAGCTGCTACAAATTTTCTACAAAAAGTATGAAATCACCGGTTATAAACAATAAACTAGGTTGCTGTTTTTTTTAGCTTAGGGATGAACACACTCTGAAAAACGTCATTTAATACTGAGAGCCATTACACGAAACGTCAGGGGCCAAATTTGACAGAGCGCTTGACTTTCCTCTTAGTTTTATCAACCTCAATTCGATGTTAATTACTTGGTAATTGTTTAGCTTGGCTAGCTATTTATCAACGGAAATTGAACAAAGGAAAATTAACTGAAAATGTGTGTCTTCATGTGAAACTTACCTTTCAATCGTTAGCCCGTCCTACACTAGTACAAGTGTTAAGACTACCGACGCAGCAATTTTTGTTGGGAGGTGGAGTAATTATAGAAATGTACGAAGAATTGCGCATTACTAGTTAACTAGAGAAAACCTGAAATAAACATTGCTATGTCTGATAAAAGTTTGACGATAAGATGACATTGCTTTGTGCTTTTCAACGCTGCATAAGACGCCATTTGTTTCAATTTTATGAGGTTTACAGAGACCTACTGAAAATTTCCGAAGAGAACACCTGAGATTACCTTATATTGTTCGTGGTACAGTTATCCCTTGTCTAAAAGAGCTTTCTGATTTGCCAAAAACTCCTTAAACGTCCTTGCTCGTTAGTGAACTAATTTTATCAGTTATCAGTGTTTGCAAAGTTAACTATAGTGTTTGCCAGTCTTGTACGGTTAGGAAGGAATTTTACTGTCTACTTTTTTACCTTCTTCGCGTTCTGAAACTAGGAAGTACGATCATGTTACTCCTCTACTTCACAAGTTTAACTGGCTATCTTGAACATCTCAACAAGAAATTTATCAAGCGTTCTAACATTCATATCCGTGAAACTCGGACGTGTGACGTGCTACATATATCTAAAACTGCCACCGGCCAACGCACCCGCTTCAAGTATAGAGCGA